ACAACTTAGAATTCTGTTGTAACCTTCCCAAATACCTCACAAATTGTTAAAAATGAAAAGATTTCGTCTTATTTAACCTCAGAGTTTATAAGAGCTTATTACCCTTATACTTATCACCTAGAATCAACATTTATTAGAATTTTTCCATCTATTTTTCATCTGTATTTATTTTTTCTGAGTCATTTCAAAGTCAGTTGACACTTCATCTCAAAATACTTCATTATATCCATCTCCAAAAAATAGGGATATTCTCCTTCCTATATAACCAGTTAACATTTGCACACCTATCAGAGTAAACAAAAAGTCTCAAATATCATCTAATTACCAAGTCATATTCAAATTTTTCATTGTTTTTTTTTTTGGGAAATATACTTGAGAGAAGCCATTGGGTTGTCAGAAAAGTCATGACGTATTTTTTGTGTTTTTTGTTGCAAAAATGTGTCATGACTTTTCCGACAACCTAATAGAATTAAGGTTTTTTGAATCTTTTTCATGCATCGATTCATTCATTCATTCATTCGTTCAATTTCTAGACAGGTCTTTTTCCAGCCTCCTTGTTTTATAGGAGAGCCTGTGCCACCCAGCAAGGACAGTGACCGCTGTGGCCACACAGGCTGGCCTCGGCGGGGCGTCGGCATTCTTCGTGCCCGTTGCTCACTGACTAACTCTGAAGAGTCACGAGTGCATCACTTTTGATAGACAGTGTTCTTCCACCCTAATATCTTTCTCAAATGATACAGGTGCAACGAAATTTTATACTTATAAATTGTGTTATAGTAACATAGTGTAAAAAGAGTAAAACTCATAAGACAGAATAAAGGATTTAAAAAGTAGCCAGTATCGAATGCCCAGCTTGCAGGGCTGGGTTACTTGTCACTTCTTGGCTGGTGGTGATGGTAGTGGGGGCTTGATGGTATTTGCTCTCATTCTTCTGAATCATGTTGCGTTCCTTTCTCGTCTTTATCATTAGGTAGTCATACAAGAATCTTTTGTGGCCATACCAGCAAGATTTTATACCGTATCACAAAATACAGCAGTACCAACATGTCTGCTGAAGCTGTATTCAGAATTACTTTATAGGGATGCTAGTCATCCTTTTTCACAGTGAAAAATACCCTTTCTAGGAGTCTGGTTTAAATCTATGGACAAGTGTCTTCTTTCTTCATTCTTATTGACGTATTTACTGACAGTCGAAAAAGATCCAATCTTGCACCTCCTTGTGGCAGCCCTGCGCACGTCTGATCACCGTGCCGCCCTCTGACCCCCTGGAGCGCATACCGCCCGGATCACTCCTTAGTGACTGGGAGAGCTCACGATAAAGTGAAAAGATCCGGGGCTTTGCAGCAGACAAACCTGAGCTTGAATTACAGTCCTGCATAAGGACGCAGAGTGTGGGCTTTGGCAACAGGCAGGTGTAAATGCAGATCCCACCGCGGTGACCCCAGCAGCCTCCTGTGACTGCTCCTCCTGGGGGATGAATGAGGTCTTGGCACGAAGTGCTCGGTTAGCACGATGCCTGTGACAAGAACGTGCCAAGTATGTATTTGCTGCACGACTAAATAAGTGAGTTAATGGTGACTATCCTTATATTACCCTAACAGTTCTTATATTTGGATTGTTAGAATTGAGATAGTACATCTAAAAGAACTTAACACAATTCCTAGACTATAACATCAGTGTTTTCTCTTTTTCCCCACTTATCACCACTTATATTAATTATTGCTTTCACACTTAAAAAACATTTAGTGACTAAAAGTTGATGCCTGTTATTCGTACCCTTTCATTTGCAAATTATAGAACTCCAACTCAAACTGACTGAGCAAAAACAGGGATATTAGCTCACAGAACTAGCATTTCCAGGCTATGTGTAGGCCAGGCTGGGTGCCAGCCCGCCTCCAGCTCGGCTCTCCTCTGTGCAGGCCTCATTCCCAGGCAGGCGCTCGCCTTGCCATGGCGGAGCTGGCTGCCAGCGAGCGGCTGCAGGCCCAGTCTGCTGGGTTGGCAACGCTGGCAGAAAGAATTCTTTCCCATAATCCCAGCAGCAGTCCTGCCTTACCAGTCACTTCTGCACCCGGATGGGGTCATGAGAGGTCAGCCCCCACCAAACCCCTGGGCCTGAAAATGAGGAAGAGAAAGTTCCAGCTGGGACAAAAATCAGAGAGACTAGGAAAGCCACATCAACATACATACTGTCCATTTTAGACAACATGTGGGATATACAGGAGGAAATGATGCACATGTATGCAGACATGCGTGCACACATGTTATACATGCATATATACCTACCTACAGGCATGCACACACATATATATTATACAGACAGGCATACACACATATATGTTTATATACAAATATACACACATGTACATACAGAGTACCAGCCCTCACTGAGTTTGTCTGGTTGGGAGACCAGATTGAAATCTCGATACAAAATATATACATAAAACAGATCCCTTTTCTCTTTGTATCCCTAGCACTTAGCACAGCGCCTGGCATTTAGGAGATAATCAAGAACAGTTGTTCCGGCCTGCTGAGGGGCACATTGGTTAGGAGTTGGCTTGGGACGCCAGCTCTGAGCAGCAGGGCCCTGGTTCGGATCCCACATGAGGCCCAGTGACGCTGTGCCCTCTACAGCTAAGATGGTGAACAACAGCTCAACCTGGAGCTGGGCTGCTGTGAGTCACCGGCGAAGGCGTAGGCTGCAGTGGGGCTGGCCGGCAGCTGGTGTGCACTTTCGTGATCTGCCGTGAACCGCAGTGAGTAGTTGTCCAATGGCCTGCGAGTGACTGCCTCACCCAGGAAGAGCTCAATGATAATACCAACATGGGCCAGTGAAGCAACGTCCTCCACAACTAGACTGAAGAACAAAAAGGACAGCAACTTGTCTGTTCCCATTCCCTGAGTCCCCAATGCTGTTCCCCTCCCCCAATTCCCCAATTAAAAAAATCTTTAAAAAAAAAAGAATAGTTGTTCAATCACATTAAGAAATCTGTAAGATGGTGTATTGCTGAATGATCTCGTCTAAATAGGAGATTCTATTTATTATCTATATAAACTATTATAAAACTAAAAACATAAAATTTAAAAAAAAAGATCCTTGCAGACAAGGGATGATTCTTTTCTGAAAAATGTTTTAATCTCCCAGTAGGACCTTAAACTAGTAACTTCTCGTTTAACATGGATAGGCCGTTCCCAATCCTTTAGAAACTTCTTGAGTCAGTTCTGCACACAGTCCCAATTCTACAAATCATTTTTAATGTAATTCTAAAGTTTTTCCTGGATGATTAAAACAACAGCTAACTTTATTAAACATAGTGTATGTGATTTTTTGTTAAAGCTAATTAATACAATGACCACACTGTAGCTGTTTGTCCCTAGTCCCAGCCCACGGACAGGGTCGTGAAGCAGCAGCCCCAGGTCCCAGCCGTGCCTTCAGCTCAGTGGCCTTCACGGTGGGGCTGTCCCTCCAGAGAACAGGGCGCCTCTTGCAGCAGGCACACCAGCAGTGGCTAGTCCAGAGAAACAGCACAGGACAGCAGAGAAATTGGATATGGCTCCGTTAAGAGCAAGCGCAATGCTCCACTCCTTTTCTGTCCGCTTTCGTTTGCACGCAGGATACACCTGTGTGTTGACAGCCCGAGGAGGGCTGAGAAGAAGAGTGAAGTAAGATTATCCAGGAGCTGACCACTCAGGAAGCTGATGGATATGTGGGGTTTGGCTATACTCTTCTCTTTACTGTTGTATAGTTTGCATTTTCCAAAATAAAAAATTGAAAAAGACGTTCCCTTTTTTATTCCTCCTTAAGGTTAAAATGTAAAGCGCTAGTTTTTTTGGGTTTTTTAAAAGATTTTATTGGGGAATCGGGGGAAGGGGAACAGACAAGTGGCTGTCCTTTTGTTCTTCAGTCTAGTTGTGGAGGACATTGCTTCACTGGCCCAAGTTGGCACCATCATTGCGCTCTTCCCGGGCGAGGCAGATCAGTCGCTGGCTTCTGGACGGCCGCTCACTGCAGCTGCTGGCCGCTCACGCTGGCTGCTGGCTACACATGGTAGCCCATGGCAACCCACTGCCACAGGGGCTGCAGCCTACGCCGTTGCCGGCGATTCACGGCAGCCCAGCTCCAGGTTGAGCTGTTGTTCAGCATCTTAGCTGTAGAGGGCAGTGTTCACTGGCCCTCATATGTGGGATGTGAACCGGGGCCCTCTGGCATCCCAAGCCAGTTCTTAACCAACACGCCACTTGGCTGGCCCTAAAGCGCTAGTTTTAAGGTGCCCCAGAGTCCTGCGGCTTTGACCGTTGTTCCCACGTTACTTTCCAGCAAACCAGATGTCCGCAGTGCTCTGGCGCCTCCAGAGCATTCAGCAAGTGAGGGAGGGCGAGCAGAGAGCCAGCCGCTTCTCCCAGGTTGGCCTGTGATGTTCTAGACGCTGTTCTGGGGCTTTCTAGTCCCCGCTGCATGTTTTCCAACCTGTACTACAAAACAGCTGCCATTTACCAAGAGCTACTGTGTGCCAGGCCCGGAACTGAGTGCTGGTCACACGTGACCTCATTTTATCCTCACTGAAGGCGGGTAGGAATGTCCCCATTACACAGGAAGCTGAAGCTCAGAGAAGTTGTGTCGTTTGTCTGGGCTCACACAGTAAGATGGATAAGGAGGTGGATGTGAACTCCTGCTTCTCAGTGCACACACCTTGTGCTCTAGAGCTCTGGCCGTTCTCTGACTTACAGGTAAGACTCTGCACCCATGTTCCATGGGTCCCGCTACAGGATGGCCGTGAGAACAGGCTGAGGAATAACTTTAGAGTGTGCTTTTGTTTTTTTAATAGAAGCGCCTTTATTTTGAGCATTAACTCCCGATGTTATGTATATTAATTTCATTTAACATATTAATTGAACAAAGCTTCCCTAAAATATTGACTTATTTGTCTCTCTGAATATAATTCCAAGATGAAAGCGAATCACACTAAAACGACGTTTCCTTCTCCAATCTCTCTGTCCAGTACACCCTGCGCTGTGACATGAAACGGTCCCTGTTGGCCAAGGACGTAACGAAGACCTGCGAGTTCATCGTCCACTCTGCCGTAAGCTGCCCTTGGGGGCCCTGGTGCTAAACAGTAGGGCCCCTCTGTGGGATCTTACCCGCTCCCCAGCTATAGTAAGTTAGCCTGTTACTCTTCCATGACGCTGAAGGATGCGAGACTCCAGGGTCACAGACACGGAACCTGGTTCTGGTACAGCCAGCACTTTGATCATCAGCATGGGCGTCATTCCCCCGGGCCCAGGCTCCCACAGGGTGATGCCATGGACCCAAATGACACTGAACCTGAGGTGGCTTGTGCCTCAGCTGGGACCCACCTCTGTTAGCAGCAGTGAGCAAGCCTGCCCTTCATCCTAGTAGGGGACGCCCCTCACCCCTCAGAGTTGCCAGGGCAAGCAGCTCAGAGATGGCCACCTGGGTAAGAAACGGTCAGGGCCTTACATTCTAGGCATACGGCACGGACACTCAGGGCCAGGCTGGGCTACCTCTCAACACCCACTGCTGATATTTTGCAGTGACACAGTGTCCTTCAAAAATTCCTTTCACATGTCAACTTAGGGAATTGGATTCCCCCCAACCAGGCAACTCAGTGAATTTTTGGCGGGTGGGCGGATGGTGGGGGTTCTCTGCAGCCCAACTGGTGCTATTCCTTGGTCATCATGCAGAACCTAGCAGTGACTGGCAGCCTGCCCTCAGTGTGACACATGGTGACAGATACTCCTGTCCACAGCCCTGGGTTGCCCTGTGTGTCTTGGGCCTTGCCAGGTCCTGTTTCCCAGTGGCTGCCATGCTGCGGCCTTCCCTGCCCTGTGCTCACACGCCGGTTCCGGGCTGGTCTGGCCCCCACTTTCCTGGGTCTGTATTGTCTGGTTCCTTCCTTGAGCCACGTCCTACGCTCAGCCTGGGACACATCCGGCTTCACTGTGATTCTCAGCAGCTCAGGGACAGGAGTTAGCCAAGTGGGGCTCCTGGAGGCACACAGGCAGTGGCGCCCGGACGTGGTGACTGGGAGCAGTGCCAGGGCACACAGCAGGGTCCCGGGCTGCAGCCAGGCTCCCACCTGGGCCGACCTGCAGTCCTGAGGGCCTCCTGGAAGTCTTCGCCACTGGCCTTAATAAACGGGGCTTTTCCAGAGTTGCCCTGTGGTGCAGGTTAATTTTTGTGGAAAATTTGTCATTGCATTTCTTTTACACTATTGTGAAATGTCCACGGGGACCTTAGTGGTGATTAAGTAAAAACGTAAGTCTTCAATCTCCCGTGCGTAAGATTGGCAAAATCACTGCTGTCTTTTATTGGTATCGTTTTTATGACTTCTTAGGACTTCCAACATTTGTAGTTTCCTTTCCCTCTTTATATATTTTAAATAATCACAGTGTTTAAGTGCCCTTTTTAGTGATAAAACATGTATAAATTTGTATAAAATATTAAAATTTTTCTTGATGGAAATGACGTTATTTAGATGGATAGTTTCCTTTATTTCATTGAGTGTCTTCAAATTGAAGCAAAACAAATTTTTTCAAATGTAGATTATTTCCTAAAAAAGACATACCTTTTTATGTCCTTAATAAAAAGAGCCTCCAACTTGGGAAGAAGGGGCCCAGAGCTAAGTCCGCTCATGACCACAGAGCCCTCTCCTGGGTCTTCTGAGGGCGGGCGGCCCTGGCACAGAAGCCAGGCCTCCCCCCTGCCCCCAGCCGTGCATCAACAGGCAGCCTTCGAGAAGTGTGTTCTCTGTGGCTGTTTCATGAGGAGGCCAACCCATGCTATGTTGACAAGTTAAATGTTCCTTTATGTCCTGTGAGGAAGAATATATTCGCTAAAGGATATGTTCATGAACCTATTAATAAAAAGAAGAATATTCCCTAGAATAAGCTTGAATAAGCTTTTGGTAAATGAGTAGATGAGGCGAATTGGTCAGGGCCTTCCTCTCCATGCACCCCAGCCCCTCGGGGCGTCACTGGCGTTGGGATCCTGGCCCCTGAGTAGAGGTCGCCAGACAGGCCCTAACAAAGCGTGGCTACATTGGTGGGTCCTGCAGCTCTGTAAGATGGAGACGATCGTTATTTAATAATCACGGTAACATTTACAGTTATTTTCCAGGAGCGATTCTTCCAGGCAGACAGGCGTACGGCTGGGTGGGTGACAGCACAGGCGCTGGAGCCAGACTCCTGGGCTTGCATCTCGGCTCTGCCAAGTCATTGAGCAAGTCATTGACGCTCTCCGTGCCTCGCTGTCCTCATCTGTGAAGTGGGACCAGCGACAGTCATAGCACCCCATGGGGTCATCCTGCCTATTGAGTTGCACATTGTAGATACCCCAGTGTTAGCTCTTATTCTGAGAGAGAAGCTTAAAATATCTCCCAGTAATCCTACCCTGTTTCTTAAGTCTAAATTTCAAACTCTGGCCCTGAAAGGGAACTTAGAGATGAAGAAGTCTATCTCCTCATTTTATAAATGAGGAAACTGAGTCACAGGGGAACACAGCAATGTTTTCTGGAAGAACTGTGTTTAGAATCTATGTCCTGCCTCTTAGTACCACAGCCTTTCGGTTCATTACGCTGGCTTTTGTTTCTGTAAAAAGGGAAGAGGTCTGACCTCTGAGCCCTCGTGCCACTGACCTTGGTTTTACCTCCCATTTTAGCCTCAGAAGGGGAAACTGACTCCGAGTCCCGTGGACTTCACTATTACACCTGAAACCTTGCAGAACGTCAAAGAGGTAACGTTCCCTGCACCGAATGCCAGGGATATTTTTTTAGTAACTGGATCCCACTGACGGACTGTTGCCTGATTGTTCTTTATTTGGGTATCAAGAGGAAATTTCTCATTATAGCCAGTACCCAAAATAATCTGTATTTTCTATTTTGATTTCTTTTTAAACTCAGTCACTGCTTAGAAGATTTTATATCTTCTCCCAGTTTTATTGCACTGTGGTCAGAGACCCTCTTCCCTGAGCCCCAGTCGCCACTGCCTACGCGTGGGCACCTGGTCTCTGGTCATCCATGGACGTGGCTTTTCTTCCGTGCTCTCCTCCTGCATTCTGCTGTCTGGACCCCATTGATCAGAGTCAGTTAAAAGCAAGTTTGGGGGGACTGGGGCGCATGAGTGACATTGCCTCATCCCTCGGGAGCCACAGCTGGGGCAGGGCTGTGTGGAAGGCAGCCTTTCAGAAAGTCCATTTACCGTCTCTGCCTTCTCCAGTTTCTGGAGCGCATAGGACCCCCATGGGCCAGTAAGATTTGAGACTTGACTGGAATCGTGTAGGGGAGCAGGTGGGTAGCGATGGGCATGGACTCCTCCTGCTGAGACGCCCCCTGCCCTGCTGCTTCCCCTGGCCTCCATTATTCAGCCAGAGAATTCCCTGCTAGTGTCCCAGTTAGCCCCACTTTCTCTCAAGTTTTACAACAAGCTTATATTTCTGACTTGTTGAAATTGTCTGAAATTGAAGTTCAGCTTGTTATCAGTTTTACTTTACCCAGTGTTAAGCCTTTATTACCTTAGAAACCATTTCTTAATAGTTGCCTCAGATGCCACAGCCACATTATTTAGCCTTAGCTGTTTAGTTGCACCATGGTCACTCACCATTACTTCCGCTCACTTATGTTTTCTTCTTTCTTCAGTTTAAGTTTTGTTTAGCTGGAATACATCCTAGAGCCATTCTTTCAGAAAGGGTGAGGAGTGAACTTAAATCCTCATGTGTCTGAAAAATATCTTACTTTCTGTCCCTCAGGAATCCCAGTCTAGGTAGACAATTCTAGCTCTAATGCCATTTGCCCTTAGAACTTTGAAAAATAGCTCCCTAGTTTTCTAGTGCCTAGTGATACTGATGACAGTCTGATTCTCAAATCTGTGAGCTGATCTGTTTCTTCTCCCTCTCTCTTAGCCCTCCTCCCCCTGAAAACATCCATCATCTCCCCAGCCTTAGTGCTCTGAAATTTCAAAGCACTTGCCCAGGTTTGGACCTCCTGTTAGTCACTGTGCCTGGCATTGGGTGGTCCCTTTCATTCTGAAGGCTGAACCTTCCTCCGGCCTTGTGAACTTCTCTATGGTTTCCTACATTGCATCGTAGGAGAAACCCTTGGCTCAGACTTCCAGCTCACTGATTTGCTCTTCAGTTCATATTTAACCCTTCTATCGAAATGTTGACTCAACAACAATGGAATTCATTTCTAAGCACAGTTCGTTTTTCGAGATAGCCCGTCTTCCATTACAGCTGCAGCGCCCTTCGTCGCTATCTCCTGTATCGATGCTGTTTCTTAGGGGGTTGGTTTATGGAGTGTGTGCCTCTTGTTCTTGCTTTTATTTTTCTCAAATGTTTGCTGATTCTTGGTTGTCAGTTTATGTTTATAGATGAGGATCTAATATGTATGGTCTTGTTAACTAGACTCTCCATCCTTAGCCCAAATGCCAGTCTGTTCTTCTGATTGTAAACACACACTTTGACCAGAAGGTCTTTGCTTCCAGTGTTGTCTTGGGGTGGGGGTGGGGATGGTCGGAGGGGGACCTTTGACCCTCTGGGCTCTTCTTTAGGGTGTGAAGGCAGCTTGTTTCCTGGGTCTAGGGACTTCCGCGCTGGGGCCATAAATGACATGGGACACTTACCCTGCCCCAGACTGCTTTGGGAGTTTCCGTGGTGGGAAGTCCCCCTTGAGGGAAGCTGCGGTGCCAGCCTGAGGCACGTGCTAACTGTAGAGCCCACACATGGCCAGTTTCACCACCCACTTGAGGGTGCCCACCGACTGCCCCTTCCCTGGGCCCCCATCTGATCTCATAGGTGCTGTGCCCAGGGCCTCCTGGGGACCCTGGCTCCCAGGGCTCCCTGCCAACTGGAGGACACAGTCCCCCGAACCCTTGTGAGCATCACTGTCCCTCCGCTTTAATCTCACAGAACTCTTCACTGCAGTGGCCTCGGGGTGGTATTCTGTGTAGCTCTGCTAGGATAGGGTGGTTTGTATTTGTGTGTTCACATCATGGCAGTGGGGGGAGGGGGATGTGTAGCAAGTATCTTCAGCTGGACATCGAGAGCTTTTCTTTTTCTTCAGTTGTTTAAAAGAGTTTTCATGTAGACTGCTCCTGCTTCTTATTTTTCTAAAGAAAGAGCTTCTTCTACTTTGATTTTTAGAACTCTGTCTTGAATCAAGACTGTTTTAGAGCTCTCTGCCCTGGGGGCCACCGGGTACAGAGTCCCCTCACTCTTCATTGCCAGACCCGTGCTGTCCACTAGGGTGGCCACCAGCCATGTGTGACCCCTGATACATGAGATGTGGCTGGTCTGAGCTGAGATGAGCTGTAGTGTAAGGGTTGGATTTCAAGACTCAGTATGAGAAAGAGAATGTAAATAAACATTTTAATACTGATTATATATGGAAGTGACAATATTTTGAGTATATTGGTTAATTTTACCTGTGTCCTTTTACTATTAAAAATGTGGCTACTAGAACAATGTAAATTACGTCCGTGGTTCACATTTGTGGCTTGTGTTGTCTCTGTTGGACAGCAGTGTTCTAAACTCTGGATTAGCTTCAGTAACTAGGATGCAAAGATCCTTAGGCTTATAGTCACGCATTAAAGAACACTGTTCTCTTTAATTTTCCTTGAAATAAATGTCTTGACTTTCCAAAATTTTATTATTGAGAACATTTTAAACTTTGTTATCTTTGTAAAATATCCCCTTTTTATTGTGACTGGTTATCCTTAAATACTTCCTCCGACACGTTTATGTCCTTTCCTTGGTAAGAAAGAGCTTTCCAATCTGATCTGGGTAGTTAGGAGGATCCTGAGGCATCCCGCCATTCTGTGCAGGGACCGTATATCTGTGAGAGCGCTTGGACTTTCAGTCTGCTAATTAAGTGGACAGAAGACCTAAGTACTGTTGCATCTTCTCCTCCATTTTGTAAAACAGGGTGCCAGGAGATTTTATAAAAATTATCCAGCTTTGTTTTCAGTTTTTATTTGTACCAAAGTGACTATCAAGCAAATTCCCCTGGCACCTTCCAGTCCTGATGTATTTGTTTTTGTTTTCTTTCAGAGAGCCTTGCTCCCCAAATTTCTCATCAGAGGACATCTCAACTCGACCAATTGTGTTATCACACAGCCACTAACAGGAGAGCTGGTGGTCGAGAGCTCGGAGGCTGCCATCAAAAGCATAGAGCTGCAGCTGGTCCGCGTGGAGACCTGTGGTAGGGGCCCTGTGCGGGCTGGGGAGGCGGTTAACACGTGCGGTGGGAGCAGCGGAAGAGCAGCCTCCCAGTTTCCGTAAACTTTTGCCTGAGGACAATGAAAAGTGGAGGGCAGGGAACTCTCAAGGATCCTGGAGAGCAGACGGGAGAAGTGGGTGTGTGCATCGATGCTGATGGTCATATCACAAAGCGTCTGTTGATCAGCTTGTTTGGACATGTGCTGTTTCATGACCACTTGATGTTCTCCCTTTTCCAGGGTGTGCAGAAGGATACGCCCGCGATGCCACAGAGATTCAGAATATTCAGATCGCCGATGGGGATGTTTGTCGGAGCCTCTCGGTCCCCATATACATGGTCTTCCCCCGGCTGTTCACCTGCCCTACGCTGGAGACCACCAACTTCAAAGTGGGTACGTGTGTGGGGTCCCGGCCCGCCTGGCTCTGTGGGGTTCTGCTGGGGGAGGCGTGGCCCACAGAAATGGACAGACACACGGTCTGTCAGACCAGGTACAGCTCAGAGCACTTTTTCTTTACTCAGGGAAAACTCATGAGAAACCGGGGCGGAGGCTAAATAGTGCGCAGGCTCAGCTCTTTAGGAACTTCCATTGTCACCCAGGGAAGTGGCAGTGACCACGTCAGTGTGGCCTAGGGCAGGCAACGATAAGCTCTGTGAAGGCAACTGACACAGCAGGGGACGAGCCAGCGCTATGCATGGGGAGGCCAGGTCAGTGCCTCTGATAGGCTGGCATTTGACAACCCCGTGTTTTGGGGACAACCTTCAGCGACAGGCCTGAGGCTCATTGGTAAATAGGTGTGACGGCAGTTTTGGTAACTGCTTCTGCTGTTAGGCCTGCTTCACTGAGAAATGGGAACTTAATCCCTAAGGCCCATACATTTTATTAATGTCTTAGTCCCCTAATTCCTTCAAGGTGCGTTATTTTTAGTCCAGAGAGAATCTTGGTTGTTTTAATTAGACCATGGTTTTATTTTAAACAATTCCAAACAATGTAATTTAAAATTTAAGTCAGTATAGTTTCATCACCAGAGTGGAGCATGTGCTGTTATTTAAAAAGGAAGGGTTGTCGCATCTGCCACTGAACCCGGGAGCTCCTTGGGCCTTTGGGGCCTCCGCGTGGGCGTGATCCCTAAGCTCCGCCTCCTGTGGATGAGGCACAGCCTGGTATCTGTGGGGCCCTCGAGTGCTCCAGCTGAAACTACACTGACAGCATGGGGATCAGGACGCTGTGGCAGTGGCTGTGGCCGAGACCAGCAGACCCCATGTTTGCCCAGCACGTGAAAGGATAGCGAGTGTGCTGCTGCACGGTGACGGCGGGTCACACGACCCAAGCCAAGGTCCACAATTTTTCTGAAAGGACGTGAGTGATAGTTATGGGTAGACACTATATGCCCGCGGTACAGACTCCAGAGGCACCAGGGGCCTGGAGTGCACAGGGGGTGCCCTCAGCTGCGGGGTCCTCCACCCCCAGGGCCTGCCGGAGGTGCCCCTGCAGCCAGCAGCGCGTGGTCCCCAGCACCCCAGCGGTCTGAGGTGCTTTGTTGACTCAGAATGCTCTGATCCTACATTAAGGAGGCACTTATCTCAATGAGGTTTTCCTACATAAACTTCAACAAGGTCCCAAAATTATTTTTTCCGCTCTGCTGTTCATTAAGCACCCAAATTTTTTGCATGTTATTTCTGCCCGGTTTACAAAGTGTCCATATAACATTTGATGCAGTGCCTCCGATTATTCCATATAAATAATTTCCTGAGTCCACCAGCCAAGATTTCAGTAATGCTTTTGTCCTCACGCCTGATGCTGAGTTCAGTCTGGTTTGGGGCTTGCAAAATGACAGACGCTGTTGGTTAGGGAGTCCCCACAGAGAGGGGGCGTGCGAGCACTGCCTGCGTCGGCAGCCTCTTGTGGGGGTGGGGGTGGGCTGGGGTTGCTGTCCACAGGGCTGGATGAGATTAGGCTCCGAGTCTCAGGGAGGGGTTGGTCTCGCCAGGTTGGTGGGAGGCAGCCCCACGTCCCACGTTGGAGCCGTATGTGGGTGTGTCCCCGTCCCCTTCGTGAGTGCTGACCACAGGTGACTTCACGTGCATGGTCAGGCCCGAGACCGTCCTCCCGCGGGAACCCACCTGGAGTTTAGAGGCCTGGGCGGGATGGCAGCTGCTCATCCGCGTGCTCTCTGCCACGAGGAGAGCCGGCACTAGCCCCCTGACATGGGCCTAGCACGTGCACAGGTGCCCTCACAGCCCGTCCACGGGAGGACAGCAGGCGGCTGGAGGAATGGTGGGAGTGACGGGACAGGAACGCCCAGAGGGCCACTCTAGTGCTGTGACGATGAGCAAAGTCAGGGAAGATGTGAGATGCCACTGCTGGTGTGTGACTCCTGTCATGTGTGAATCTTGGGGAAGGTGAACAGCCACACAAGGGACACTGTCCTCAGGACTCCAGCCCCCGGTGGGGCCCTGGATACGGAGACCCCCAAGCCCCTGCCACAGCTGAGCTTCTGTGGGGCGGTCTGGGCCGTCTCCCCTCAGCCCACTTTGCTTCTCTGCCCGCACACAAGCCCTTCCCACCTCCCCCTTCATGCGAGCTGGGGAGGGGGGTCTTTCCTCAAGGAGCCCCCTCCTCACGCACCCCTTCTACTGTCGGCAAGGCTCACCTGCAGCAGCTAGAAAGCTGGTGGAGAGAGAGTCCTGTTTGCTGAGAGGTCAAAGACGAATGTTGGAACAGGTGTTTCGGATAAGTTAACAATATCTAAAGGAACAACAGTTAAACCGAAAGCTTTTCTGAACATTGTGTTTCACTTAGGGAGGGGAGCCGTGTCCCCAAACAGCTGCAGGTCCGTGTGGAGCCTGCTGTTCTATTAAGAACTATAAAAAATGTAAAAATAAAGCAAAATATTATAAGTCAATTGTAAGGATTCTAGAAGAGTCTCTCTAGTAAAGACAAAGGACAAGGAGAGTGTGGTCGGGGAGCTGATGCCTTACTGCTCCCAGGTGAGAAGACAAAACCGAGCGCACCCGAGGCATCAGATGGCAGGGTGGCCGCTCTCGCGGTTCTCCTGGCAGCTTAGGGTGACAGATGTGCCACACGAGTACAGAAACCCCACGGCCCCGCGCTCTTCACTGCTCAGAGCTTGCCGGGCCCACAGTGGGGTTGGCATGGCTTTCCGCTGCACAGGGCAGGTGAGCATAAGGCCTGTCCTCTCTCTTCTCAGAGTTTGAGGTTAACGTCGTCGTGCTCCTTCACGGTGACCACCTCATCACGGAGAACTTCCCGCTGAAGCTGTGCAGGATGTAGCGGGCAGGGGGACGCAGCGGGACCCCCTCTGCAGGAGCACAGCGGCTTTCTTGATGACTCTGTAGCAGAATGGCTCCGACACCGCAGGTCACAGTCACTGCTTCCTCATTTCCTTGAGGCTTTTGCTTCCAGCGGGGCCTCTGGTCAGACGTTGTCTTTGAAATTCATCGGGATTTCTTCATGCTACTGGCGAGCTCATTTCCCAGGAAGCAGAATGCCCTATGACTCCTGGCTTCCCTGCTGCTTTTCCGGGGCACAGGACAGTTGTAACGGCAGCTTGAGCTTTGCTGGAAAGTGAGGTCGTGGGGACAAAGGAAACCCTTCGTGCCTGGCTAATGGATGTGGCCGGGCCCCCCGCCAACAGAGCGACTGCCGTCGGGCGACCACCGTGGGCGACAGGCGTGCTCCTTGGCTGTGGCGTTTGCAGACACCCTCCAAGGAGGAGTGCAAAGCGTGTGGCAGTTTTTCCCACTGTGTTCTGTAGTTCTTTCCCAACATTTGCACAGTAACTTTACAACTTGTAGGAAGCTGGGGGTGTCCACTGCTGGAGGCTCGCGTTGTCGGATTCTCCCATTCGAGCACGTGGAGAGGAAGGGGAGGTGGAGGAAGGAGTCTGAACCATGACGCTAACACAGTGTTTTGGAAACGCCCGTTTAGGCAGGAACACGCTTTGGCTATCAGCATCGGCAGAAATGGGGCTCGGCTCCAGCTCCCAGCTGCAGTGTGAATTCCAGAGTAAAGGTGGGCAGGAAAGTAAAAAATAAATGTTGAAGGAAGCGAAAGTCCCGGGCCTGAATTCGTCCGGAGTCCCTGCTCTGGTAGCTGGTGGGGAGGTACAACGCTGACGTCGTTTCTGCCCTCCACATGGGTGTCTGTGTCTGACTTGCCCTGTAAAAACTTGGAAGCTGAGCTTGCCCCCTCTTGCTAGCTGTGAGGGGGGCTGGAGCAGAGCGCCCGTGCTCTCCCACAGTCCCTCTCACACCTGCTTCTTGTTCAGAAATGGCTGTACTGTCATGGACCCATGCCTACCTGGCTAGGGTCTTCTGTTGGACTCCTTTGCAGCTAGGTGTGGTCATGTGACAAGGATGTGGGCCACTGGAGGCCAGACCAGAAGCAGGCCTGCACCGCATCCTAGACCATGCCAGACAAATGCGTGAGCCCAACGTCTCACCTCCCACGTGAGTTGTGGCTCACGGAAGCAAATGGGCTCGCCTGCAAGCCCCCGGATTGCTGGGTGTCTGGGCTGTAGCAGCCAAGGAAAATGGGCTGGTTTTCACTGTCACTATTCAGACGATTAAAAAGACTAAGTTATGGCTTTCTCAGGAAGAAGTGTCAACACCAAGAATAAACTCTGTGATGACAGCTGTACTGCATCCCTGTCGTCCTGTTTTGGGAGGAGAGCCGCGGTGGGCCCACGAGGGGGTCGTGTGCTGCTGGCTGGTACCAGCTCCCAAATGTCCTTGAAATGAGCTGGGAGTCGCTACCTCAGGTGAGGCTGGCCCTGTGCTCAGGTGGGCCGCACGCCGCTCCTGCTCGGCGAGCTCTCTTCCGGCGGGTTCAAGTTGCCCGAGTGTTAAGGAGATCCCAGCTGTGGATTTGGGCCTAAGGAAACGAAGTGCTACGTGAGCATCAGCTGTTCCTCTGGGTCAGGTCCTGCTCCACGTGCTGCGTACGTATTACCTAACTGGGTAGTGACCCTATGAGGAGGGAATCAGTATCCCCGTTTACAGATGAGGGGGTGGTGGTTGAGGCCAAGGCCATGTTCCCACCGTCCCCGGGGAGCAGTGCAGCGAACATGGTCCAGTTTCACCTGCACCGAAGCCCCTTTTTCCTCACTTTGCTTCATTTGGGCTTTATGTCACCTTGTCAGTGTTTTTCTGCTTGTTTCCGCCTGTTTCCCCATCACACGTCATCTGTGTCACACAGCTGTTGAGAGGAGCCAAGGGCTCTGCGACCTTTGTTTATAATCTAATCACCTCAGTTTTGATTGGCTGAATCAAACAAAGATGAAGTCCTGAGACGAAGGAAATCATGTGCAGCTGAATCCAGTTTAGGAAGGAGGTGGGTGATTAAAGAACCAAAAGTCCAAGGAAAACCACAATCTAGTCCCGAATTCCTTTACATTGAGTGAAAATATCAGGGAATGTTCTAGACCCTTTCAGGGCACTAGACTGTCCTGTAGTAAATCACCTCACAATAGCCGCCTGAGGGGGATTTTTTTTTCTTAATTGGGGAATTGGGGGATGGGAACAGCGCTGGGGAATTGGGGAAGGGGAACAGACAAGTTGCTGTCGTTTTGTTCTTCAGTCTAGTTGTGGAGGACGTTGCTTCACTGGCCCAAGTTGGCACCATCATTGCGCTCTTCCCAGGCAAGGCAGGTCAGTCGCCGGCTTCTGGACAGCCGCTCACAGCGGCTGCTGGCCGCTCACGCTGGCTGCTGGCTACATACGGTAGCCCATGGCAACCCACTGCCACAGGGGCTGCAGCCTATGCCGTCGACTGCGACTCACGGCAGCCCAGCTCCAGGTCGAGCTGTTGTTCAGCATCTTAGCTGTAGAGGGCAGTGTCACTGGCCCTCATATGTGGGATCCGAACCGGGGCCCTCTGGTGTCCCAAGCCAGTTCTTAACAAACGCGCCACTCGGCCGGCCCTGTGGGGGATTTTCTTGTTGCCACCTCACAGCTAAGCACAGAGAAGCTGTGACCTGCCCAGTCCATGTCCCTGTGCTGAATTCTGGCCCAATATTCCCCCAAAACTGCCCTGACTTCTGTCACCAAGGGAGAACTAGACAGCCATGGCCAAAAGCGTGCATGTGATCTTATTCACGTAGAGCCATCAGTTGTCCACGGACCCCATGCTTCATAATGCCCAGCCAATTTTCAAAAAGGAAGAAGGAAGTTCTGTGAGAAGAAATGTTTCTGGGCCGGCCGAGTATGAGGGCCAGTGACACTGCCCTCTACAGCTAAGATGCTGAACAACAGCTCAACCTGGAGCTGGGCTGCCATGAGTCACCGGCGACGGCGTAGGCTGCAGCCCCTGCTGCAGTGGGTTGCCATGGGCTACCGTGTGTAGCCAGCAGCCAGCGTGAGCGGCCAGAAGCCGCCATGAGCGGCCGTCCAGAAGCAGGCGACTGAACTGGTTTGCCCGGGAAAATCGCAATGATGGTGCCAACTTGGGCCAGTGAAGCAACGTCCTCCACAACTAGACTGAAGAACAAAACGAGAGCAACTTGTCTGTTCCCCTTCCCCCGATTCCCCAGCGCTGTTCCCATCCCCCAATTCCCCAATAAAAATCTTTAAAACAAAAAAAGAAGAAATGTTTCCATGGTAAGGCTTATCCCAGCTGACTTACGTTGGAGGTCCAAATAAGAGTATACATGAGGAATTAAAAGCAGAACAACTGCCTGGAAAAATGCTCTCTGATGGGGAAGGCCACCTTTTGAAAGTAAATAATTCTGTAACCACAAGACTCAAAACTAGCCGCTTGAGTAGAGAAACTACCATGCATGTGGATCTCACAGCCGGGGGTGAGAGTAAGAGTCCCAGGTCGCCATCTTCTCCACTCTGACCACCGAAAGCTATTTATATGTGAGACGCTCCATGTGGTTAGAGTTCAGAGAATGTGACTTTACTAAGAAACTTAAGGGCACCTAATTTGTAGAATCAAAGCTGATCCAACTATGTTTATACAAAATGCAGTCAAAAGTATCAGAGTGTATTATTCAAAAGAAAGTGGGGAAAGGCAAACAGGATTGAAAACAGCGGGGATCCTGGATATCCTACTGTGCTTTTCTGTGAATGTCCCCAGTAAAATGGGAATGCCCTGGGCCCCAGCAGGCAGGATTCTGACTTGGTGGGGTGTTTCCTATCCAAACCCAGCCAGTCCCTGTAAAGGTTTCCATGCAACACACAGAAAACATACACTGCAGGTGTTAAGTAATTCAGAGAGGACAAAGACATAATTTGCTGGTGCTTCTTCAAGACTCATCAGGTTTCGAGGAGTACCTGCTTGACCAAGACCAAGGGAAGGGTACAGATAACACCAAAACGTTGGGTTTGCCTGTGGTCTGCATTAACTGTCATTGCCCCCAAAGAGGTCTATGTTGGGGTCCTCTGACAACATCCTGCTGTGGCAGGAGGCTCAGCGCTAGCACCTGCGGGACAGCAGCTCCAGTGGGGAGGCTTACTGAGAGGCGAGGTTTGCTCAGCAAGGATCCCAGGAGGTGGGGTGTCCCCTCCTTTCTCAGAGGACACTGCCTCCCACCTTGGTCAAGGAGTAGAGCTTCAAGACCACAACCTTTGGGACTTAAGTGATAGGAACGGGACAAGCTTTTCCGTCGCCCAGGGAGCAGCCACTGATCGGGCCGCCCCGGGAGGCTGGGCCAGCAGCCCAGACATACATACGGCTGCCAGATACAGTAAGGAAAGGGTGTGCTCAACATTAGTAGTGGAAAAGGTGAAAAACAGCAGAAAAATCAAACATTAAATGTTCATTAAAAAATAGTTTCAACATCAGTATGCATTAAGAAAACCCTATTCAAAGCCCAATACATAAAAAAGTCAAATTTAAGAAATGAGTACTTCCTAAAATTTTCACCACTATGCTCCTTTATATCTTACAGAAAGTATATATTTTTTTAATCCTTGGAAAATTTTCAACAATCATATATTTTTGCCACAAATAAAACCTCAAAATTTTAACAAGTAGAAATTTTCCAAGCCACATTACTTTCCCATAATGCAATAAAATTAGAAATTAATACCAAAAGGAGGGTCAAATTCAATATAAGCACTTGTAAAATATATAACGTTCTTCTAAGAGGAAATGAGGAAACCAAACCTTCATTTACAGACCCTTTTAAATTTAATGAAAATGAGCATACTGTATAGCCAGAGCTTTGCATTATGGCCAATGCTGCAGTCAGAGCATCATTCATAGCCTTATTACACCAGAGAGAACGAAAACTAATGACTTAGGCATTCAAATTAAACGTCTAGAAAAACAAGAACAAAATTAAGAGTGAGAATAATCACAAAAGCAGGAATTAATTTATATGAAAGCAGAAACACTATAGGAAAACTTACAAATCTCTACGTCCATGAGTTGGTACTTTGAAAAGACTAATTCAATTGGCAGATCTTTAACAGACCAAAACAAAACACAAAAACAAATATGTAACACTAGAACAACTTTAGATTAAAACAAACCCGGTGAGAATTGTAATATTACACTATGTACCTTTCCTGCTAATAAATTTGCAGACTTCAATGAAATGCAAAGTAGATTCAGAAAAGGTAGTTTACCTGAATAAAATCATAGCCTATGGAAGAAACTGAAAAAATTGCCTAAGAAATAACACTAAAAAGGTGTGAGACCCAGGTGGTTTTATAGCAGGCTTCTACCAAAGCTTCAAGCATCAAAGAGTTGCTCTACTATTTGGACTGTTGCAGGAAGAGGAGGATGAAAAGCCTCCCAATTGATTTTATGAAGCCACTGTAGCCCGCATCTGGAAAGCTGACATCACAGCTGGGATCGGGATTAGCTGTGAATAAGGGACAGCCAAAGTCACAGTGGCTTAAACACGACTCACATATATTGTCCTCAGGTAGCTAGTCCAGAGCTGGCAGAGCAGCCCAGAGCCATGACGGTCTCAGCCAGGCCTGATTTGCATGTGACTCATTCAGTTGTCCCAGGGGCCAACCTCTGCAGCTCCTTACCCTCAGGTACCCTGGTCCTCAGCCTTGGCTGAGGGGTGGAAGTATCCAAGGTGGGGATTTTCAAAGCTCAGAGACCACAGTTTGACTAATTACTCCAATGACCGAGGAGAGAGCCCAGACTGGGCAGCTGGGCCAGCGGGAGGACTCGGCCTGAGTCGGAGCTTCCCTCACGGAAGACGGGGCTCTCTGACAGCTCTATAACGTCATCCTCAGGTAAGGAGTGATAATTTGGGGGGACAAGGTTTTCCTGTCCTACCCCTGGGCCCACGTCACACTGAGAACATGAGAAGCTTGTATAAATGTCCCGGGGCCTTGCAGGGAGCAGGTGCTTAACAAATGTTGGTTGAATGAGGAGAATGAGAGCATGGATGAGAAGAATGGATGAGATCATCAACCTGCGGCTAATACAGTTGAATCAGCCATTGTTTTGAAAAACAGATGACATTAAGCCCTAAATTTAGCTCAGCCCACATTTAGTTAGCAATTGCATGTAAATCCCCAGGTCTGCCTCGGTAGCAAATAGAAAGATATATCAACCTTTTCTCACCTGTAAAATATGACACCTTGAAGAACTCAAAAAGACCTGGCACCTAAAAAGTGCTGGGTAAACGATGGCCGTTATTGTTCCCTCAAAATGTGAAACAAAGTGGC